TATTTAGTAGAAATGTATATTTTCTTGCGTAATACTCACCGATCCTGCTTCGTAGAGTGCCTGACTCATATTTATGAATATATTGATCAAGGGTTGACTGAACGCTATCAGGATGGTTGTGGAAGGATTTACACCACTATTGCTCGTCTCTGGCTTCATCAAGTCAGCCAGAAGACGACCAAGCTTATTGACTTCACATGTCGAGTTCGGCATTGCAGACTTTGCAAGCCTTGCGTACCTGTTCAATACAAACACTCATCCCGTATCTCTGGCGTTCTTGGCACTGTCTGTGATCCTGGATGGGGATATGCCTCGCCTTAGTATTGCTGGCTCGGCGATATCATAGCTTCCAGGCCTAACGAAGTCAGACATTATGACTTGTCGTAAGGTGCCTCCGGTATAACAGTTTGTGAGATGATTGACCAAAACTCGCCGAGAGTCAGCCAACTCCCCTAACTCCATGTTCCCCCGATTCTTGTAACTGCGCCGTGTCATGACAAAGAGCGGAACGGCGCTAATGCAATTGGATTATTTTATGGGTCCAGAGCCGGTGCCCGGGCCCGGAGATGCGGGCAACACCCATGCTGTGATGCCGAGAGCGAACGTGTAAGTCGACGAGAGGGTTGGTTTTTTGGTGTATTCGATTATCTTCCTCTTGGGGCTCTGTGTTGGACTGATAAGTATAAAGGGCTTGCTAGACCATGATGAGAATCCCTTCTCTAACTCCAGCATTCATAACACTCACACCCTCTTACAACCTCTTACGCGCTCAAGAGCTTGTTCTGATCGCCTTCCTCTATCGTTCACGTTACTCTGCACATCAATATCTAGCTTGCTTCCACCATGGAATCTATGAAATATGTGCGGTAGGCTCTCCACATGTTCCAACTGCCCTAAGCAACTGTCTCTAACATTCTCAATAGCGTGGGCAAATCCGGCCTCAAAGTCTCCCAAATCATCCTCGGCTGCATGAGCTTCGGCGACAAGAACTGGCAGCCCTGGCTTCTCGACAAGGATGAGGCCCTCCCCATTCTCAAATACGCCTTTGACCGCGGCATCAACACCTGGGACGTGGCCGACACGTACTCCAATGGCCGCTCCGAGGAAATCGTTGGCGCCGCCATCAAGGAGTACAACATCCCGCGCTCCAAGCTCGTCGTCATGTCCAAATGCTTCCAGTTCGTCGACGAGAACAAGGGGCCCATCGACCCGGCCAACTTGACCAGCAACGAGGGGCCCCGCGTGAACCAGGTCGGCCTATCCAGAAAGCACATCTTCGAGGCCGTGGAACGTAGTGTTGAGCGTCTCGGCACCTACATTGACGTGCTCCAGATCCACAGGATGGATCGCGACGTGCCCCCCGAGGAGATTATGAAGGCCCTTCACGATGTTATTGAGAGTGGCAAGGTCCGCTACATTGGCGCCAGCTCAGTGAGTCTTCGACAAGGACGCTTCTCTCACTGTTCCTTCCAGTTACTAACAATCAGCAGATGGCCGCCTGGGAATTCCAAATGCTCCAAAACGTAGCAGCCCGCAACGGCTGGCACCAATTCATTTCAATGCAAGGCCTCTACAACCTCCTCTACCGTGAAGAAGAGCGCGAGATGAATGCCTACTGCAACGCCACCGGCGTCGGCCTCTTCCCCTGGTCGCCCCTCGCCGCCGGCGTCCTCACGCACGCGTGGACCGACCGTTCGGACCCGCGCGAGCAAAAGGACCCCTTTTTGCAGATGCTGTTCCGCGGCGCGGAGAACGGCGCCGATAAGGCCATTGTCGGGCGCGTCGAGGAGCTGGCGGAGAAGGAAGGCGTGAGTATGGCGCAGGTTGCGCAGGCGTGGCTTATTTCAAAGGGGTGCATGCCCATTTGCGGTTTGGAGACCAAGGAAAGGATTGATCAGGCTGTGGGCGCTTCAAAGGTTAAGCTGACTGAGGAGGAGGTGAGGTATCTTGAGGAAGCGTATGTTCCGAAGTTGCCCATGCCTTTCTAGGTGTTGTAATTACTGTGGTGCCGTATTTGGGGATAAGTTCAGTCAACCAAGTCAGCTAATTGCCCTTGTCCTGTTCCCTTCAAGATCCATACGTGTGAGCAGTTGTAAGTAGGGATGGTATTAACATGTGATTTACTTTCCCCATACCTACCGAAGTTCCAGAAATTCCATGTAAGTGCAGCAAGTTCCGACGATTGGTAACACAAGAAATTCACAACGCCCTTCATGCAGGCAGATCCTCACATTTGTCCCGCATCGGCATCGGCAAAATGAACGTCATGCGCCTGAACAGAAGCAGCAGCTCAGCAGGAATTCCCCAACCTGCAAGAGTGACTATCGAGTCTAGCGTCATCATCTAGACAATGGTGACTTGATGTCTCGGATGTTGATTCGCCGGGCTCACTCGCCGCTAAGATGAGTCTCGCGGGGGTTTGACCTCTTAGCGGATTCGGTACCAGCAGAACCCCTCGGCTGGAATTGGAGGAAACCAGACAGACACTGCCAGATAAGGGAATCTGACGCCATGGTCGAATAGACACCGGAAAAGGTCAGCTTTTGGGTATGGGGGTCAGGCTCGCTCTGCGCTTGCGACATTTTTGTTTAGCTCAGCCTCGCATTCAGAAGTGTCGCGACTTGCAACATCTGTAGTCATTGATATAAGTGATAATGGAAGTTTCAAGCGGAACAGATGAGAGGCATGAGCCGCCGGCAGAGAGATCCAACGAACCCAACGAAAAGCAAGGCAGCCTCCGAACGGTGCAATCGACGGTTGACGATGATCGATCCAGCAGACTGACGTCGAGCGCGCTCGACGAGCTCAATGCGTCGCACATTGACAGCAGCACTTCTGTGTCGCTAAGCATCGACACAGACATCAGCGACGCCGACTCGGCCATGGGAATTGATCCTGGCCGCGCCTCTTCGTCCGCCTCGGTGGCATCGAGCGTGTATCGCTTCGTGGAAGAGTTTGGCAGGACGTATCACGCATATAAAGAAGGAAGTAAGTCTGCGCGACCGCATGCAGAAAGTTACCTTTTGGAAGCCTGCTTACTGACACCTCGCCCGCAGAATACTTCCTCCCCAACGATGAGGTTTGCGAAGTCCCCTTACATGCGATACTGCCAAGCCCGTGAGTGAAACTAACACACCCCCGAGCAAGAGCAAAGCCGCCTAGACCTCCAACACGCCATCGCCCTGCGCATCTTCAACGACAAGCTCGGCCTCGCCCCCGTCTCCAACCCCCACCGCGTCCTCGACATCGGCACAGGCACCGGCATCTGGGCCATCGAGTTCGCCGACAGGTACCCGGCATCGGAGGTCCTCGGCACGGACCTGAGCCCCATCCAGCCGGAATACGTGCCGGCGAACTGCCATTTCGAAATCGACGACGCCGAGGACGAGTGGGCGTTTAGCCAGAAATTCGACTACGTCCACGGCCGGTATATGTGCACCTCCATCTTTGACCTTCCTAAACTCTTTGGGCAGATCTACGAGAACCTCAACCCAGGCGGCTGGGTCGAGTTCCAAGAGACCGTCATCGACTTCAAGGCCGTGGACGGGTCGCTCGAGGGCACGGCGCTGCGGCGGTGGAACGATCACCTCCTCGAGGGGATCCGCAAGGCCGGGCGGGACGCGCTCTCTGCCCTTGAGTACGCGCGGCACATGACGGACGTGGGGTTCCATAACGTTGAGCAGAAGAGGTTCGCGGTACCGGCGTCGCCTTGGGCGAAGGGGAGGAACCAAAAGATTTTGGGCGCCATGCAGATGACGAATAACCTTGAGGGGGTGCAGGGTATCACGATGAAGATCTTTTGCCAGGTTCTGGGCTGGACTCGAGAGGACGCCGAGATGTTGCTGATGGATGTGAGGAAGGATATGGCGGATAAGAATATCCACGCGTATATCACGACGTGAGTCCTTTCTTCGCGTTTGATGGTTATCTGCTACTTGCGCTGACGATGATGGATGTAGTATGTCGGTTTGGGGGCAGAAACCCCAGGAACCGGGACGGTCGGCCGTCTGAAGAGACAGTGTCTGTTTTCAGGGTAGTCTTCAGGTCTCTGAGGAGGCGGAAGAAGAAATGTCCTCAAATCCGTTGCGAATTAGAGTATCCGTATGGGGGACATGCATCATATCGTGTTGAAGCTCATCTCGTTCTCGCATCGCATCGAAACTCCGCCATGTTGCGGAGTCGAAGAAGAAAAAGAGTTGCTGTTAATAACTTGCCGCGACAGCTGTCGTCCAAGACGTTGGGGCAGTTGCTCAGCCTATCATGCAAACACGATTCATGTTCCGTTCGTCTCATGTAAGAACTACCTTGGCTGAAGAATGGGCGTTTGATAGTGATGTGTGAAACCAAGCCAACCAAAAACCTAGCTGCAAACACGACCTTTACCACACCTTTAGAGTATTGGTTAAAGTCTTGGTATCCTCAGGTATGTGAAGAAGTGTGCGCGCGATACACGCATACCGCGGCACTCCCGAAGTGCTATCCGTCATGCCGTCTGGCCTTGTGGATTCGAGCCGAGGCCGTCGAGTAGGTGATCCACTTCCGATGGTCCCATACCGCCGTGGAAACACTGGGAAAACCGACAAGGAAAATGGCGGTGCTATCACTCGTGTCACTGTGCCGTTGGGTTCCGTGATGTTCATGCCAAGTTGGCCGATGGTCCGGCGAATCTGTGCCGGAAAGGGCATCAACGCCGGTGGGGAGGGGCGCATCTTGGCTCTTGCCTCCTCTCCACGCAGCGGTACGAGATACATTCATCGGCGTTACAGCGACTCGGCCCATCGGCATTAAGACTTTTTTATTAGACTCTTAGTAAGCCATGCCTTCGATCAACTTGCCAATTCCAATTTCCACCATGCAACGAGGGCCAACTTGATCAAAAGAGACGATCTTCTTCGTCAAACTTGTTCAAACCCCACTCGCTCTGACCGATCCATCCACTCGGCTCGTCGTGTTTGCAACATGCTAACCCCAGACCCTTGACCCCCCTCCAGAATGCTCGGATGCCCCTTCTGGCAAGGCATGGAAGCAGCCGGAGAGTTTATTCGCCCGCATTGCTTTGTCACCCCGGCGTAAACACTCTGATTGACAGACATACCGCGGGCGTACGCCGCACTTCTTCGAAAAAGAAGCTGTGGAGTTCTTTCCGTGGGACCGCTGTGAAGAATTTGTTGGCGCGGGGTTATAGTCTCTCTCTTTCACTGCCAGCTTACAGACATGAGCGAGTCATACCAAGAGCCAAAGGTACACGCTGCCAGGCCTGAATTTCAACCCCGACACATGTCACTCAGTCATCATTCTGCTTTGAAGAGGGCGAAGCATATGCCAGGGGCAGCACTCAGAGAAAACCATCACTGCCGTGACGTCAACCTGACCAATTGGCGGGATGAAGCTCTTCATGCACTCCCTCCCCCCTTTCCGCACCTTAGCCAGCACATTCCGCTTCGTGCTAGGGGGATAAGCTCAATGGCATCTCGGACAAGCTGCTTGTTTCCCAATTGTGGGGTCATGGCCTGAAGATGATTACCATGATGGCCAGACCGTCGATGGAGCTACCCATGTGTATGATGGGGATGCGACGAAACTACAAAAGAGCTAGATGCCCCGCGCGAATAAACTGTTTGGAATAGAAACTCAGTACACTCAACTTTGATACCCAAGATACCCTCTCAAACCAAATCAAATAACTCTTTCATCAACTCTCTTGCCTTTCATACACACACACAACATCATACACAATGGCTCCCAAGGTTCTCATCGTTCTCACCTCCGTCGACAAGACTGAGAAGTCTGGCAAGCCCATCGGCTGGTACTTGGTACGTTTCCATCAACCACTGGTCTTTCCACGTCAAGTTCCGGTGAGCTAACTGTCTAACCAGCCCGAGCTCGCCCACCCGTTCGATGTTCTCAAGGAGGCCGGCGTCGAGATGACATTCGCCTCTCCCAAGGGCGGTGTCGCGCCCCTCGACCAGGCCTCTGTCGAGATGTTCGCCAGCGACCCCTCCTCCAAGAACTTCCTCGAGAACCACAAGGCCATCTGGGAAAACACCGAGAAGCTCTCCAACTTTGTCGGCCGCGCTTCCGAGTTTGACGCTATTGTATGTTTCCCCCTCAATACAATTTTACCTGGGAACCAACAGCTTACACCTCAACCAGTTCTACCCCGGTGGCCACGGCCCCATGTACGACCTCGCCTTCGACGCAACCTCTCACGCCCTCATCGCCGAGTTCGCTGCCCAAAACAAGCCCGTCGCCTCAGTCTGCCACGGCCCCGCCGCCATCGTCAACGCCAAGCTCAACGACGGCACCTACCTCGTCGCCGGCAAGACCGTCACCGGCTTCTCTAACACCGAGGAGGACCAGGCCGGCTTCACCCCCGAGATGAACTTCATGCTCGAGGACCGCCTCAAAAAGAACGGCGGCAAGTACGAGCTCGCCGCCGAACCCTGGGGCGAAAAGGTAGTCGTGGACGGCATCGTCATTACTGGTCAGAACCCGGCCTCCGCTCACGGCGTCGGCAAGGCCATTGCCAAGGCTCTTGGCTTGTAAGGAAAGCCCTCTGGAAGAAAACGTGTCGTATGAAATATCATGAATGGGATCTAGGAAAGGTTATATAATTATGTCAAAATTTGAAGCGTTTTTGCCAAACCACAAAGGGACCCTCTGCCAAACTCAATTGGAACACGTCAAGTTGCCTCGTGATTGCGGATTTCCTATCGCTTAGAGTGTTAAGGAGTCGTTTTCTCGGGCTGACAAGAAAACACACACCATGCATCGTCAGGCCTGGGCAACTGGAAAACTCAGATACTTGACAAATAAACTCATACGGCGCACATTGATTGTACCATTGGAGTCCAAAAGAAACAAACTACTAGTACTTTTTCCATTCGTCACTAACTTTTCTTTGACAATGCGATACACCATTACGAACGATAACTGAAATTGAGTGATGCATCTGGCACACTCGCAAACGCCCATTTCCATCTAATGCAAAGTGGTATGCCTTGATCTCCGGACACCTGATTATACAGTCCACCCATTCGATACTTTCCCCTCCTTCACAGGGGCTCCAAGAGCGTGTCCACAAACGCCAAGACATAAGAAATAAAACTCCAAGCCTTTGGTTTCAATAGTCTTTGTCACCAATGAAGAGTTCAGAAGCTGAAGCAGGGTGGAGCAGGCCAGAAGTCCTAGTCGCCGTCGAGCAATGCATCCATGCCGTTTCGCTCACTTTCAAGGCTCTCCGCTGTGATGGGGCCATCAAAGGTCTCCTGCTTCCTCTTGACTTCGTCATCATCTTGGTTTGTAAGGTCGTCAAACATCTTGTTCACGACTCGCTCATCTTCTTGTGAATGGGGCGCAACATCCCTGCCGTTGAGCATGCCAACGTCCCCTTTGAACACGTCGGGACCGAACATCTCTACTGCCCTCTTACGGCCAACTTCTGTCCGGCGCAGTATGTCAAGGGCGTGATTCCTTCCAGCCTCGGTGTGCAGGTTAAGCCCATCTTCTTGACCCTGGAGGAGGCGTTCTTCAAGAGACATCGAAGAGTTGCCGCCGACAAGCTGGGGGCCCGGTGCACCATTAGACATGAAGAGGCCTGGGTGAAGTGTCGGAGCACTGTCAATGTCCATGGGATCATGATTGCTTCCAATGGATTGACGGCCCACATTGCCGTGGGAGGTAGAAGGAGGCGTTGCAGACGATTGTTCCGACTTCCGACTGTGGCCATGTTGAAGGCCAGGTGGCAGCACAGTTGCGCCAGACGCAGAAGTGGCAGCCGCTGCTGCAGCGGCGGCAGCGGCGGCTTCGGCATTCTGAGCCTTCCGCTTCAAGCTGGCAGCCTTGGCCTTCATGTTCTCTGGGAGGTCTTCTGCATCGTCCACCCCAAACTGCGCCAAAAGCTTTTGAAGCTTGGTCGGTCGCGGCTTCCGAGTACTCTTGGAGACCTCAAGAACCGGTGGTGCGTTTGGTGCAACAGGGCACCACTTGTGCAACTCTTGCCTGAAGAAGTTGGTCTCGTAGGCAAGCAAGATTTCAGCGCCTTCAATCTTCCGCAAGTAAAAGCGCTGGGTGTCCGCCTCAGACTCAGTGGAGACCACAGGATTGCAGTAGCCGGTGATGTGGTTTCTGAAGTCCTGAGCATTGTCGATGATCTTGGTAAGGACCTCCTCCTCCTCGGGCTGGAAAGGGAGGCTGGGAATCTTATCAGACCAAGCAATAAGCTCTTCGATCTTGGGTCGCGCTGCATCTCGCGGAATCTTAACCCGCCAATCGCAAATGGGGCACGTGTACTTGTCTTCGTCCTTGACCTTGCCGCGAGCAATCTTCAGACATTTGCCGTGGTACCTAGCGACGTTAGTTAATTGAGTGGATCTTAGAAGGCCACATCAAAACATACCATTCATGACAGAGCTCACACTCAATCATCATGCCAGCCTCCACCTTTCGGCAAATGCAAAACACCTCGCGGAACCGAGGGTCCTCCCAACGGTGCACCTTTTGGTCGGGACTGGCTTCCCTCGATGCAGGTTCGGCAGGCATGCGAGGCTTGTCATTGACAATGTCAAAGCAGTCTTGATTGCGTTCCAACACGTAGTCCATGTGGCTCTTGAGAATATGGAGCGGTGCGTTGGTTTTGCCAAACAGCTTCTTACCCTCTCGCATCCAGTCCTCGTGACGTTTCTGCTCCCGCTCGAGGTCCAAAGTCCCATTGGGTTTCGAATTCAGCTCGTCGAGTCGGCGCATGATCTCAGCCACCTCTGCATACTTGGGTCGATTGCGAATGTCCCGGTCTCGTGATCTTTCAGTCAAGTCCATGATCTGACGGTGTGCCTCCCTCTGCTTGTAAAGAATCTGGTCGACAGCGTTCAGTGTTTCCGCAGTGACCGGTAGGAAATTGGCCTGGACCTGCACCGATAAGGCCTCCAGCTGTGGGTAATGGATGACCTCTGCGATAATCAACTCTCTAGCCTTCTTCTCCCATTGTTGACCAGCAGTCATCTGTTCAATGTAGTAGACGAGATGATCGTTGTATGGAGCAATGTCCAATCTCTTTCCTTCTTCGATGAGCTCGCGCACCTCGTTGAGTGACATGAGGCTGTTTCGGTTGTTACGAGCCTTCTCGCCCCACTTGAGTTGTTCAAGGACTCGCGAGAGTCGGTCGACTTCTGGCGTGTCGACATTGAAAGTCCGGCCCTCCTCAAGTAGGTCTTCGATTTCGGAGAGCTCGGCGAGGTGGATCTGTTCCAGCGCTTTAGCGGCATTCTTTCGGAAGGCCTCGATAGCCTCGACCCGCTCCCTCAGCTGGGTGATCTCAGGGCAGTCAAATCCTATTTGCTCCGCCTCATTGATAAGACGGTACACGTTGGAAACATTGCGCGCATCGCGTTCCTTTTGGTCCAGCGAGTTCTTTCGGTTGTGAATGGACTTTTCGCTCTTGCGCCTGTTTTGCTGCTTCCGGATCGTGTAGTTGGTGGCCTCCTCCACCCACTCGTTGCACCGATCGACAAATTCCCGAAGCAAAGGGAGCGAGGGTAGGTCATGGGGTATTTTCTCACCCTCGTGTAGGAGATTCCGAAGAGTCTTAAGAGAAGGCGTGGCCTCTTCTTCCAGGAGCTTGTCGTACTTCTCTTCCCAGGCCTCTGGCGTACGCGCCTTTTCGAGAACCTTGCCGTATGTTGCTTCAATGTCCTCCTCGGACTGTCTGTAGATGACAGCATGTCCTTCGCCGTGGAAGCGCTGGTGCTCGGTTGACTCGCAGCATGGCTGATAACCCGCGTGTGCCAGGCAAAGAATTTTGCCGGACTTGAGGCACTTGAATCTAGAGAGGTACGTAAAGGCTTTGCAAAACGAGCATTGATACTCCTCTTCGGGCACGTCCGTATCGTCAATTTCAAACTTCAGAGGGCAGGAGGTGTCTTCTTTGCCAGCCAACGCACAATCGTGCAGCTGTGGCTCGAGGTGCTTTGCCACGAACTCGGTCCGGTGCGCGAACTCTCGTTTCTTGATGCGTTCGAGAGCGGGCGCAAGCCATTTTGCCGTTTGGATCGTCAAGCCGCTGTTTGTCGTACCTTCGGCGGCGGTCCACAACAACTCGTCGTGCGAGAAACATGGCTGTCTCCTGAATACTTGCAGTCTCTCCACACCGCCCAGCCCGAAGGGTTCCCAGTCACAAGGGGCAAAGTTGACAGCCTCGTTAAAGTTGAAACCATGGTTGAAGCCGGCGTGGTAAGCCTGGGGGAAGGTGATAACAAACTGACCCGCGCGCTGATCGAGTGCATAAACCCTGACGCCAGCCTTTTTCAGCTGCTCCGGGGTCAAAAGGGTGACCAGTTGGAACAAAAGGTCAGGCTGAGTCTCAAAGAGCTCAGGAACGGCTTCACGCATCGCGGCCTCGAACTTCTCGGCGTCCTCGCCCGGAATACCATACCAAGTCTTGGTTGCGCCAAAGTGCTGGTAGTTGGCAGAGTAGGCATAGTGGTCTTCGTTGTGCCAGCAGAAAGTCGAGAAGATCATGCCAACGTACACCCACGGCACGGTCATGCCAGAGATGTCTGACTTGATGTGCCTGAACAGACTTTCAGGGTGGAGAGGGAGCAGGTTGAGATTCCAGGGGTCGGTCGAATAAGGATTGTTGGGATGTCTCTCGACGGTTGGAAAGCCGGAGCCGTGAGTTGTGCAATGAATGTCGGCACCATACTCGACCTCCACAGTCTCCTCAATGTCGGCAACGAGACGCCAGAACTCAGTCTCGACGTCTTCCTCCGTGACTGGGCGATGGCAGTTGAGAACGGGGTCGAAGGGCATCTTCTTCTCAAAATAGCCCTGCTTGAAATCGGCCGCCTTCTGCTGGAATTGTTTCAAGGAATACAAGCCGCCCTCCTCGAATCCGTACTGTCCGTCACCGACCAGACATCTCGGGCAGTTCCATTCGGAGTCGGGCTTGTGCTTAGGGGGAGGATCGAGACAGGTCCCATGGTATGCGTGGTCACAGGACTCGCAGACGATTAGGGCACCGGCTTCTTCCGCCTTGCCACACTGCTCACATTTCTGCTTCAAGTCAGTGTATTGGAAAAGAGAACGCAATGATGCCTCGTAGCTTACCTCGCCAGGAGCCAAGGCCTCATCTCGGGGAATTCTGGGCACGGAAGGACGGAACAGAGACATGTGAGATCCTGCCACGGTAGGCACAGTATCTGCAAGTCAATGTATTAGCATGTGGATAACAGCCAATCATCGTACAGCTGGTAGCAGAATCCAACGGTTGCCTCGCTCAATTGGGGAAAAGAGTCTTTGAAGCCAATGGAATCCTTGTAAATTCCATGCATGTGGTTCATCGCTGCATGCGGAGCCCGCCGTGATGGTCAAGTACAGCTGGCAACGCAGCCACCAACATGGAACGATGGTGCTGGCCGGTACTTGTGGGCAATGAGGGGAAGAACTCACCTTTCTTCAGACGCTTACTCCGTCTGCTATTTCCACCGTCTCCGTCGTCCTTGTCTGTTCCAGAATCCTTCTTTGCAAGATCGAGGCTTTCACAACTGATTTGCCGTTTGAGAGCGGCTGGACCGAGATTTGAAGGCCGATAGTCGGGCGTGTTCTTTGCCGAGTTGGCTGGACTGAACGATTTCGGAGGCGGAGTACTAGCCACCTCATCCTGCTGAGCCTGAGGAGCAGGTCGATTGACACTCTTGAAGCCGGAATTTACCGCAGTAAAGCCACCCGTGTTGATGGCCTTGAAGCCCGAGGTGACAGGGGCGGGCGCGGGCGCGGGTGTCGGGGGTGCATCGGCCATAGGAGTATCTCGGTCAGCCTCCTTTTTGAGGCCACTGATGCTTGCTTGCAGGGCATCTGACGCGTGGCGGGCCGGCGAGTCGCCTCGGGCGCTCGATGGAGTATTGACGTTGGATCGTTTCATCGGAGTGACCGCTGGGCTTGGGGTGTAGGGTCCTCCATTCTCGTACTCGAGTTGCTGGTGCACTCCGGGCTTGGCGAGCCTCAAATACTCCTCGTATGGGCAAAGCCATCGCTGGTATGAGTTCTTCAATGAGGTGGACAGTGAGGACATTATCTTGCCGCTGTATCCCAAGTCACGACCGATCTCGGCCCACTTCTTCAGTTTGCAGACCTTGTCAAAGCCGCCACGAGCCTCAACGGCCTTCTTCAGACGGTACAAGTCGAGAGGCTTCTTGTCCACATACGGAAGACGATGCAGGTTACTGCCCTGCTGCTTGTGGAACTTGGCCAACGCGTCCAAGTACGAAATGTTTGCCCGGGTGCCTAGTATAATTAGCATTGCCTCCCTACAAAAAACACAAGGCGGGCACGCGTGACTGACTTCCTTCGACCGAGTTCAACTCCTGTTTACGGGTTCTGAAATGGAATCTCTGCACAGTTCTTGGTCAGCATGAGTTCGGCTCGCAATCGAGCTGGCTGGCTGGCAGCTTCGCGACTAGGCATCGCAACAGCATCTGAGCAGGTCCTCTCGGGTGCAAAAAATGAAGACGAACCTCTGTATCAATCGCAAAGTCCGGGTTCCAAGAGTCGGGCGGAATGATCTTGCACAATCCGTAGTTCCTAGCTTCCGGGGAGATTTTCTTGATGTACTCCATCGGGTCCTTCCACTCCTCCTCCGTCGGGCAGTATGTGGGCGCATCCTCAAGGCCATGAGGGCGCGACTTCTTCTTGACCGGCTCCTTGATCGCTGTCGGTTGGCCCCGTCGTTCGACCGAGGTGAGTTCTAGAGGAGTGCTTCGCATCGAGCTGAGAGGAACCTGAGGGTTCGTCGGGTGGTAGCCGTTGGAGTTGACCTGGGCGGCCTTGGATTTGGCCGAGGCTGTGTTCGAGCCGATGGCTGGAGAGCCTCGCGAGCTCGCATTCCCGCTTCCCGTGCCGTTGGCAGCGGTGCCGCCGGCTGTAGGTGCAGACACCATACTGCAGATAGGGATTGCCGATAGACCTGTGGAACAGGCACAATGGCGGGTTGAGGTGAAGAACGATCGACGGTTTTCGGTTCTGTCGCAGTCACAGGTATTCGGGTAGACGGTGGATTCCGTGAGAGATCATGCGAGCGGATGTAGACGGGAGGGCTATGGATATTGTCGCATGACAGATCCTAGAGGTTGGTTTTCACCGGTGAGAATATAGACGCGGTTCGATTGATCGACGAATTTGTTGCTTCGAGAGTCGTCACTGGATAAAGCGCATCAGAAAGAGATCGGTTGCGAGGGAGAGTATGATCTGGGGGGTGAGCGGGATATGTCAGATATAATGGTGCGGTGGAAAAGCTAAAGGCTAAAGATGCGGGTGACCAACGGGGTACCTAGCGGCGACAAGCAAAGAAGCTGGGGTTTGGGGGAGGCGTTTGGTACCTACCATGTGTGGTTGCATACAATGGAAGATTGAATGGTGATGGCACACAAGCGATATGTTACGAGCGAGAGTCTTCAGCACCTTTTGATGACCGGATTAGGAGAGGATCCGAGTCATGAGAATGAGATGTAGGAGGGAAGCTGGGGTTCGGGGGGAGGAAACGATGTGAAGTGGGAAGTGTGGATAAAGGTGAGGGAAGGGGAAGGGAAGGTGCAGTGTGGATAGGAACTGAACGGCGGGCCGGGTGGACGGACATGGAAGTGGACGCAGAAGGGAAAGAACCGAATGAACGGGGAAAAGCGAGTACCTATCTTAGAAGAGATGGAGATGGCCGGCAACGTGGGAGGAAAGATGCACGGGCAGGTTTGGGTTCGAGGTACCTACCTACTCCGTACCTGGAGGTAACTGAACTTGGGGTGGGCGAAAATGGGCGGAAATGGGACCTGAAGTAAATGTGCTGTGCCGGTGCGTCCAAGAAGAAAATGGCAAGGCCAGGCGCGGCAACTTGCAAGGCAGGTGCGATGCAAAGTGTGGGAGTGGACATGGGACGTGGACAACATGCATCGGCATCGCACCCGTAGTGTAGCGATCGCAGTAGCGATTGAAATAACGAGAGCTTGTGTTTTTTATTGTCTTCTTTTTTTTCAATATTCTGACTACTTTATCTGCTCAATAAGGTACCTCTGCAAAAGTCTAAACCAACAGCAGAAATTGAGGAAAATACATGCATCTGGTGAGAGCTAAGAGAGGAAAGCGCAGAGGGTGCGACAGGCAGGCACCGACGGGGACGGAAGTTCCACGGGTCCTGCCAAGGTACCTCAACTTGAGGAAGAAGGACGACCGTCGAACGGCAGGTGCGAGGGTGACCAAGGGCGGAACGGAAGGGACAGCTCACGTCTGTCGGTGCAAAATCCCACTACAAGTGGGTCCGAACTGGACGTCGGCCACCCACTGGAAGTACACGGTACTTCCTCGGGTGCCTCTTCCATGACGTCCACGGAGTCGCTCTCCCTCCCTAACCAACAGAAGCCTGAGCTGACAAGCATCCTGGCCTAACCACAGAAGACTGTCTGTCTACCAATATCACCGTCTGTTCCTGACGACCCCTCGAATCCATACCAGGACCATGCTAGTAACAGTCAACCAAGATCAAACCAAACGACTCTGTTGATCTGGATGCTCGGCTGGCATTACTTGACGGCCAATATGACTTTATCCTTCAAAGGGAGCGATCCATTAGTTCCCCGGCTAAGCCTCCTGCTTCCCTTTGATGACGGGCGGAAGAGAGTAGGATGCACTTGCCCTGGTGTCATTTTACGGTCTTTAGTCCGAGGTACATTGTGGTCCGACCGTCCTCAGGTACACTGGTACATGGCCCCCAATCCTGACATCCAAGTCGGTCGACATGCGACATCAGACACACATACACACACACACTCGCGCGCGCTCGCACACAATTAATCGCAGCAGTGCCCGAAGACGTCGCAAATGCCGGCCCATGAATCGTTTGGTTTGGAGTGCACGGCCGCAAAACCTCCGCATCGCCCAGGGCTAAGTGCAAAGCCTGGAATTGCTCTCGATCATCGACCGAACATTCGTAATAGGGCCATCCCTCAATCGCCGTCCGACATGTCTCCAGTGATTGGCGCATTGTCATCTAGACCAGAAGGATGCATGCGAGGCGTTGATGCATCGCCAGCGCTGTCATTCCGACATCCGAGCCTTACGTGCTTCGGATGGCATTTCGAGGCTACACTTGGCAGTACGGAATTCTGTACATGGGATTCCTCGAGAAGTCATATTGCCTTACCGAATTTGCACCATTTTGTCTCCGATTGTCCAGCCTGTGACAGTTTTGCCACTGCTGCATTTCAGTGTTGCGTCTAAACGCCTAAACTCTGCCCTGCCAGGACGGCATGCCCTGGCTAAGGTGAATGAATGCCTGGCTTGCCTGGGTCTGAGGCAAAAGGATACAGTGCCACGGACCACGAGACTTTGCTACACGCCCACTCTTTTCCCATGCACAAGAAACCAACATCTGATATCGCGCGCTGACTCAACAGGGGGACGCCAATATCAATCGCTTAGCGAGCCAATCACGACAGTATGACGTTGGAGAAACCCACCCTGACGTCCCAGATCGGTTCAAGGGCGAGGTTCATCCCTGCTTGCGGGGGCGGGCGCTGGACGGGCGACTCAGTTTTAGCATTTTCTGATTGATTTTTTTTTCTCCTTTGTTCTTTCCTCAGATGACCTGCACGAAATTTGACGACCACCACGGCTTAGTCATCTGCCAACTCCTGATATCACGACTGATTATCACCAGAATGATATCTTCACGAAATGTAGTTTAAGTTGAGCTCACGTCGTGTACCTTTCTCAGAAATAAAATCTCATATCAGGGCTCGTTGAGAAAGTAGAGAATGACAGGCAGAAATCACAACGAACTTGCGCGAACCTCGAGTCTTAAGCATGATGATAATGAGAAATGAGATGGATAAAGGAGATGGAAGTCGCTTTGCACGCTTAGGTGACGTCAAAGACTAATTTTAAAGAGAATCTCGTGATCCCGTCAGCTTTGGCAGAATAGATTGAATATTCTTTTCACATTACCAACATAATTGTATCAAGAAGATGATTGAACAAGTCCCGCCAAGATTGTCTGTCTAGTTCCTTGATCCGTGGCACGCCTATTGGAGATTGTTTAGAAGGCTCCCATTTGTGACTCCATCAAGAATGACCAGTCAGCTCAGTAGAAAACGTTGATCACGGGTGAATATCAAGCCAGAGGTGATGATGAGACCTACAGCAGACCCGCCATCTATCTCTGAGGCAGATCCTCTTCGGCCATTCATACAATTATGAAAAGAGTCTAGAGGGTTACTACCCCCAGCATTGTTAAGACACTGCACAGAAATCATGTTGAAGTTTCCAACATACGCGAGCAAGAAAGAAAGAAAAGTTCCTCTCAACCTGTTCTGAGTATCATTAACTATCGGCCAGCAAGGACTGCTAGATACCAACATTCAGAGAAACTGATTATACTTCCCTCGGTTGATCATCATAATTATGCTCATGTAAACCACCTCTTTCCTGCATCTAAAATAAAGTAGGCGCAATCCAGATGGAGTAGCTATTATCCGTAGGTCAGATCGATAAGATCAGGCTGACAGTGATTTTCGCATACCTAAATAATTCACGTTTCTGCCTGAAAATACTGAACTGGTCTGCTTGTTCTCCATGTCATTGCCAAATGCCCCTTTATTAATGATTTAGATGCAGATATTTACTGCAACTGGAACAGACAACTGGACATCAACATGAAGTTTCATATGAAAACCAGAGTTTAAAGGTACGAGACATTGCAATGTTGCGATATAGGCACTCGTGATGGCTGGTGGTGTACCTAGACACGGAAAGTAGTATGCTGGAGACACAATTGACATTGGCCTTTGTGAGTTCTCTTCGTCTTGAGCGAAATGGCTCACGGGAAACAACACACAAAACTACAAGTGATTATTGCCTATGAGATTGGCCAGATGCCGCTCTACATTCAACAACTTCCGCAAGACATAGCCTGGAGCTTGAATTCATGGTGGGCTTGCACCTTGAAGCTCACAATCTGTACCTATGCTCACGGGGTTCTCTTTGAAACCACTGTTACGTTCATTTAATTGGGGTGGTTCGTTTGAACAGCATATTCGGAATCGTCCACGATGGCAAGAAGAGCCTCCTGGCTCATACCGAGACGACTGATGTTCTCTGTACTCAGTCGCCTGGGTCTATATCAATCATTCGGAGAGCTGGACCGTGTATCTTATGCAGTTGGCGTTCCTTGGGCTTGTGGCCCGGGACTGAGCAGCTCATATCTACAAGACACTGCTTCGCTTAAGATGTCATATGCTTCGTTGAAACGGAGAGCGAGATTCGGTTTCGGAGAGATAAGTCTGTGTCGGGATTGCGGTCCCATCTAACGTCTTCTCTTCGAGCTGCTTCATCTGCTTCTGACTGTACCTCTTCAGCTTCTTTCCAAACTCAAAGAAGCAATGGCCACAGACGAGAATCACCCCTATACTCCCAAATTCTCTAAAGTCTAGGAGACATGCCTGTCGGACATGGCTTTAAGGTCTACCGACTACGTAGACAACACCCCTCCTTCCTTAAGAGGTTCCTTCACAGCTCAGAGGTGGAGCGGGCATATGGAGCCTAGTTTGCTGCGAGGACAGTGAGCTTCTACTTCGTAAGGTGGACGTGTACCAACCCGTGTACATCTACGAAAGTGGGATGAGCTTTATGAGGCCAACGCCTCCTCAGGAGATTTCCCACCTTTTATTCTAGAGTCCAAGGGGCTCTTCTCTTGAAAAGCAGAAAGATTCAGGGGACATCACCAAGATCAGCCATTGTCATTGCAAATTTCTTGTGCATATCTCTTTCTATCGATGAGATGGTGTCACGGTTCAACTCGGAGAGATGATTACTAGAGCATCGTAGTCCGGCAATGATTTAGTACGAAACCACTTGGGCATCGTCGGACTTTCGACTCTGGGTTCCCAGTTCCTCTCTCTCTCTCTCTCTCTCTCTCTCTCTCTCTCTCTCTCTCTCTCTATAGACAGACCAGAAATACCATGCCCTGTAGCTCGCTCGCTCGATCCCATGAGAACACGTCGTACGCAGTCAAGCATACATACTGACAATAATGGCACATTCTCTTTAATTTTGGCATGGCGAGGCCTCGCACAGAGCTTCACAGGATTGCTAGCCAGTCATGGAGTTGATGAGGGAGAGCTCAAAGTAGCTCACGGCTCTTACTGATGTGAGCACGATTCCTGGCGTACTCTCACAGTTCCGGTTTCGCAGGAGTGTAGACCCAGCATCGACCAAGTCTGTAAATTACGGAGACATCAAAGTAAACTTACAAGACTGACCTCGGACACGACAATTCAATCTCGTTATTCGACCTGTAATGGTGGTTCAAGACCGATATGGTTTCACAAACAGTGAGACTGAGATACAATTTGGCTACGGGTTGAGCAGGTTTCTTGTAGATCACATTCAATCGAACCATATCTATATGCAATACGGAAGCACGCAAAGAGCTCATAGGTAAGACGTAATCCGATTTCAATTTCATGGTACAGACATCTATGCACTACTATCCCGCCAGAGCCAAGTCGGATAACGAGAATATCACAGCTACTAGGGCCTCGGCGTGGTTGCTCTCGGGCCAGATTGGCAATTTAGGCCATGCCATGGAAAACAGGACTGTGAGCTAGTCGACCCCTTTGTTGCCCATCAGGCCCATGGTTGCGGCCGCAGCTCTCGGGAGCTGGTCGCGGTGTCTTCGATGGTGGCGTCAGAGTCTACCGGTGTCGCAGATCCCCAGGCCGTCACCAGCCTCGCGCCAGCTCAGTGTCTGACCTTTTCTCGAGCCAGACATGCCGAGAAACGATGCTGGATTATCCGCGTTCATGCACCGCCCGAAGCTATTTGCATCCGGCTATGTGCATCGCCTTGGGCGTAGTCTGGATGGTCAACTTTCCCGAACCAACCTCAACGGTGCGTTCCAGCACTGTTGGGGTGGGTTTCCCGAACGTTAGACTTTAGCCAGAACGCGGCGTACGCAAGAGTCAAGGCAAGCCTGCGGAGATACCCAACACTCCAAGCTTTCATTGAGCTTGCAGAATTGGGCAAACGTATTTGCATGCAGAATCGCTTCTAGACCAACCCTCAGAGCCCCAAGGAATGCTCTCAACACTCCGAATCGACAGTAGCCGAGATGTGAAAACGGTTCGATATTACCGCAAATGTAGAACTCCACTGGTATGACGACAATGCGAAAAATTCGACGCTGGCCGTCTGGTTCGTAGAGACCCAGGCTGACTCGCAGCATTTGGGAGAAACAGGCTTTGTGGGCCGAAAAGATGTTATCTCGCAGATGGATCTTGCAGATCCGTGATTGACACAGAGACCCACGTGGATCTTATCAAGTCTTCGTTCGCCTCTTCTTCACTTTCAAAAGAGCCTCGACTTCTTTCGCACCCCTTTCCCGTAGTGACAATTCTTTCATCATATCGACCCACTGAATGTGGCCCCCACATTGTGGACAACGGCCCTGAATAGGGACGACCACTTCTCGATCCTCTTCATGGTGGAGCATATGACGACTCCAGCATGAAAGATGCCCAACAGCCTCACAGGACTCGTTTGGACACACGGCGTGTAATCCCTGACCGTGAGGTAGTGCCTCTTTGCAGACTACACAGCTGCCCTCTCTTTCAAAGGCGATGACGGACTGTGCTTTTTCAATGTATGGCTTCATGTGCGTGTAGTCCACAGGCAAGGCATGGATGCCCCAAGCGACGTCGTCTGAAGATGCGGCGGGGTCGGGGCCGAAGTCGGTGACTATGTTGAGGGTGTTTCGCAGAGGCTCGGTTGACTTGGTAGAGGAGGAAACCCATGCTTTGTGTACATCCTTTGCAAAGAAGTGTAGTGTAAGCGGCCACCGACGGAAGCTCGGTACTCCTAGCAGGAGCTGTAGATTGGACAATATCGAGGAGAGGCTAGCACGAGGTCGGCGGGGACGTCCATTCTTCTTTACTCCGTTTGAGACGGTGATGCGAGACGTGGAGGGTATATGCAGAGACAAATGTGGGTTCGTCAACGCCCATCTGTTGTTCTTTGTCAGCGTATGGTTGAGAAGGTTGATGTTGATACAGAACGTGATATCAAATCAAATCAAATCAAATCGAAATGGTGCAATATGCAAAATCTAGACATGCAGGAGAACCTGAGCATGTGCAAGCTAGGGGGGTGGTGGGGAGGAGGAGCGGGGAAACATCATCTGAAGCAGAGCACCTTGCTTGAGAGCATGCTTGGAAGCATGATAAGAGGGAAACAGCCTCAAGGTCAAGGTGGATCGTGAACGGGACGGAGATCATACTCAAACTTTAGAGCAGCAACCATGCCCGGGAAGCCGGATACCAGCCCCACCATCTCCCAGGGCCGTAGGCTTAGACGAGAAGTGCGAACAGCGCCGCCGCGGGCCTCGCCATTGTGCTGCTTCAGACGGCGCGGGGGGTTGGGCGTCGAGCCGATGTAGAGAGACGCGTGGCGTACGGTGGAACGGAGGATGTACACCGTGTAGAGGGCGGGGATGGGCTTGGACTGGACGGGCATGACTCGGCAGGGGACGGTAGACGAAGTCAGGACATGTTGTTCTGCGACGTGTTTTGGGATGGAGGGACGAGAGAGAGCGGTGCAGACTCGAGACTCAGTGCTTGTGCTGGCCGCCGGGCAGTCTAGACTCGTCTTTTGCTTATGGGCGCATACGTGGACTCGGGTTTGAGCGTGTGCCGGGGCGGTCGGGGTTGGGTCTGTGACTGAGTTTGTCCAGATAGATGGGTGTCGGACCACAGGGCGAACACCGGAGGGAGAGAGAAGGATAGGTATGGGTGACAGGCCAGGCCAGGCTTGGGCGATGCTTGAACGCCTGTGCTATTGTTGGTGAACTTCGGCGTCAGTTGTGGTGGTTCCAGGTGCTGCTGGCAATGCACCGCGGGGCGATGATACTGGACGGCGCCGCAGCGGCCAGGTGAGAGAGCGGTGTGTGAGGCGAGGCGAGGCGAGGCGAGTTGCGTTCCAGGTCTGGATTCGGCTCCAAGGTTGATTGAATTCTTGGAGGCTAACCGTAGAGAGCGATGTCGGCCGAGGGGTCGGAGACTCGGGTAACTGCAGGCTGTTGATTGAGAGCGCGGGAGAGGGCGTGGGAGCGTGGGATGGTCGCGGAGTTTGAGTAAAGTGAACCCCAAGTTTGGGGGGGAGACGGAATTTTTTTTGGCGTCAGGGTGACATTCGGCCAGGGACCGATTAATTGGATCTGGTCAGGTGAGAGCACCAGGCCAGGTCGGGGGGGTTAAGAATGCAACGCAGGCCACGGTGAGACGAATTGACGTGGGTGGTGGGAGTGCAGCAGTAGCGGCAGCAGCCACAGGTTACTCCAGGTTAAAAGTTGCAGTGAAGCACCGTAACACCATAGGTAGCACGAGGGTACAGGGAAGTTGGCGCAGAATGGAAGGGAGTGAGAGATGAAGGTGAGTCAAGAGATGGAAAGGGAATCGAGATTGGCCACGGGGGACGGGATGTTGTCACGACTCACGGAGGAAACAAGCAACGTACACGGAAAGTGTCGAAAGTGTCAAAAATTTGAGGGGGCCTACCTAGAACAATAATGTGGGATCCAATATTGATTCACTTTGGAAATCTGGATCAAATCTGTGTGTAAATTGGATGGCTGACGGCTGCATTGAAAATAGAAATGTTCGGTCGGGAGTTGAGGAGAGGCTAGTCCTGTTTGGGACACGGGGAAGGCTGTGGCTGCTCACCTGTTCTCACCTTGGGGCCTCACCTCACCTTCTTCACCTTGCTTTTTTTTTTTCCAGTCATGTTTTTCTTGTCGGGGGATGCCAGGATGGGAGGCTTGGGCTTCCATAGGAAGGCGTGGAGGGCCAGCCGGTGACGGGAGCAGGGGGTAAGACACCGGGGAAGCTGACCCCAAGTCTTCCGCCTCGTGGTTCCTTCCGGTTGGCGGTTGCACTTGCACCTCGCACCTGCACTTTTTCGCACTTTCTGCTCCTGCCTCCTGCCGTCAGCACCAGTGAGTGCCTGCCGTTCCTGCTGTTCCTGACGATGCCTCCTGCCCTCCTGCCTCCAAAGGGAGGTACCTGTTGTCTCGTACCGTTCGTGCCTTCCCTCCCCCCAGCTGAAGCATCGTCGCCCGGCTTCGTCCCTCGTCCCCCCCCGGCTACCCCGGCTACCGGACCCTCCACCCGCCAAGGGCCCCAACATTCCCCCATGTTTTTCAATTTTAGATTCCCGTGTCGCAACATTTCGTCCCGTGATGTGCAAAAAAAATGCCACCCTCGTCAGCTGTGTAGCTCGGGGGGTGAAGCTGTCCACGATGTACTTCGTACCTTACCTTACCACCTTACCACCTTACGCATAGCTTCCCCAGCTTCCCGCCAGCTTGGGGTCACGACACACCGACACCAGCACCGACACCGACCGCGGAACTCAGCCAATGCTGCACTCCGCAACCGCAATCGTGGACCTCCAAGCTCCCAAGCTTCCGTCTAATTAACCACCTGCATGCACTCAGAACTACTCAAGCGGATGCGTGCCTGACGATACCGGTTTCAACATGAGTAAACCCCCTTCATGCCGCTATTTACTTGTTCTTACTCACAGAACCACCTATCTTCTGCCTGGGCACGCCTGGCTACCAAGTGTCACTCGAGAGACCAAATGCTTTCTCAGATTGCCAAGGTGTTCAAATGAAATGGGAATCGAGACGAATCGAGGGCACGAGATCTCACTGATGCTGACAAGAGCATAGATCACCTGCCATTACGAAGAGTGACGCATCCTAGGTTGATTACCGAGCCACATTCGTATACTGTGGATTTCAGGTACTCACGTATCCATCAGAACCTCGTTGGCTGTGCCAATCAGTACCTCGCACAACACTCGGCCATACCCAAGAGCTGCTTCAGTGCAGTGACACAGCCTGTGCGACAGAAGAGAAATCGAGCAGTTGATTGACCAACCTGCGACTGTCGGCTGCAGTTGTGCAGCTCCAGAGGTCAAGGAGCCACGCACCCCGGATGCCCGAGCAAAGATTCCCTGCTTCAACAAAAAACCAAAAGGCACCGATGGAGGCTTCCAGATACACGGAATGAAGCACTGGAGCTGGCACTAGAGCCGTACGGAGACAAACTACGTACGGAGTGTCCTGTTCAGTCGTTCCCAGCGCACATCAGTTCGCCTCCTGCCCTACGACTCGAGACATAATCGCCGCTCAATCCGCATCCGCCGTCACAAATCCACAGAATGCCCATCAATTGGCGTCTTCGATTGGCACACAATGCCCGTGGCACGCGTGGGTTGACGCTGGTCCCTCTGCTCTCGCTGATCCGATGAGGTCTGCCACGTTCGCCTATTTCCGACTCGGGAGCGAGCAGCAGTAATACACAGTCACACAGTATGCTGGATCACCAGTGCCATTCCTCGCACCCCACGTTTTCGACTGTGCCTTCGAGAGTCTTGACCGAGTTTCCGAGACATGACAAAGCTTCCTCCCCCTTGTGCTCCGCTGCTGCGAGCGAGCAGGCCTTCTGTGTGAGTAATGCATGCGCGAGTGTAGACCACAGCTGCAGCCAAGCATTGAAGCATCCAAGCATTGAAGCATCCAAGCTAGCAGGCTCACTGCTTCGAAGCTATGAGAGCCGAACAAACAGCCACCAAACAACACTCGTCAGCTTGTTTCCCTGGCAAAAGCCCGTCGACTGTACGGCCAGAAAGCCATCAGCTTCCTCAACTGACTGGCGTAACGCTTGCGGCTTTACGGCTTTAGGCCTGCCGACCACGGCGTTGGAGGCGTTGGGATGGCTTGGGTAGTGGAATACGGGTTACGGCGTGCGGTGTGCGGCTTGCTACCCACACCTCATCTCCAACTTTGGAAGTTAATCAGTCAACAACCCACCCTCTGACACTTCAGATCACCCGCCTATTCGCACCGTTAAGGCAGTCAGCCTGCAGTTGGTGTGCAGCACTGCAGCACACCATCGTGGCAGTTGATAGCCGAACCCGATTGATTCAGAGACGACGCGGCAGCAAAGGAAGCACCAGACAAGCACACCACCCTTCGAACGGGCAATTACCTGCAGTTGTGTGACAATAGAGGCCGGATGCTCTCTAAGCTCCGCGTGCGCCGAAGACGTCTGGTCATGCTGGAATACCACCAGGCCACCTGGGCAGGCAGGCAACGGATGCAGACACATGTCCGGCCCTTCGGTGGCAGCGACATGCCAGCCAACCAATTCACCACCTGGACACACCGATGGTCACTGAGGGTGTCCTTGTGGATTGCAAAGAAAGCCAGCTTGGGCCAGTCAGCACTCGCAACCTACTACGTAGAGGGGTGTGGGCGCGTACCTGGGCCGGAGGAGGGGACCCCTATAATGGGATTTGGGAGCGCCTCCAAATACGGTCCATCCTTGCCGATCCCTACCTTAGGCCAAGGGTTCCAAGGTCAATCATGGAGCACACTGGATCTGGCTGGAGAAGGATTGTCACCATCGCTGTTCGAGACGCCAAAAATTCCCTGTCCTAGACCTGCGATCCAGAAGCTGCACGCAGATGACCTTCCCTCCTGGGTTACCCTCAGTCTCTGTTGGTCTCTGTCGATTGCTGGGCACAGAACAGCTTGGGACTAGGCATCGTTTTGTCTATCTAGAAGCTGTCGACGCGCCGAGAGGGAACGACTTAGCACCAGGAGTGATCTAGACCGCAGTCTACTGTCCACGGCCGCTGCACGTTCTATGGCGATAGACCGACAGACCGACAGACCGATAGGCCACCCTCCACCAGCATTCAGTAGGTACACAGTCCGGCCCCCCTCAACCATGCACGTTTACCCTAGGAGAGGAGACGACCCGTGGGGGTGGATGAAGCAGGCGGCAGGCGGATAAGGTGAGTGTGCCGTCGCACTAAGAAAAATCTTTTTTTCCTTCCATGAAATGGTGGGTGGAGGTGCCGTGATTATTCTGGACCCGGGTGACTGCTCCCCCCTGGCTCACTGAAAGTTGAAACTAGGAAGAGTTGGAGCGAACTCATTTGCCTCACCGCCGCCGCGCTCGACCCGTGGCACGCATAGCTAGCTTTGTTACGAATAGTAAGAGTTCGAAGTAAGGTGAGCGTGGTGAGATGGTGGCAGCTGCTAAAGTCCTATTTCCAGCCCTCGAGGCTCTCGATGCCCAGCCGGCACATTCACCTGTCCGTCTGTCTGTGTGTGATCTGAGCGAGAGGAGTCAAGACTCAAGACTATAGAGAGAGACGTATCTTTTCTATTTCCCGCGAGACTGTCCCTCGTCTCGTCTTGTCAAACACCATCTGAGATGAATCTCTACTTAAAATACTGTGTTCGAATAGTGAACACGAATATCAGTACGTACCTTCCCACCCCTGCTGCTCGCTGCCAAGTCCGGCTCGCACATCCCGCTGCAATCAGAAGTCTGGACTCTTTTCGTCTTTGCTTCCCTTCCACTCACTGGAACGGTTTGGGAGAAAGCCGCTGAAGGGACTTGGGTGATCCGTGTGCCACACACACACACACACACCGAGAAAGACGACAGAGAACGAGAGAGGAACAGTGTGACAGTGACAGGCACACAGGTTACCAGTGAGAGAGTCGGAAGTAGAAGTGCCAGTTGCTGCTAATAAGCTTGCTTCTTAGGGGGGGGAGTGGTGATACCTCACCTTTATGTACTGTGTATGCAGAGTGGTGGGGGTCCCGGTCTTCTCACATCAACACGCCCCCACCACTTCCATCACACACCACCCACTTCCTCCCACGCCACGCCACGCCCCCTGCCCTGCGGTCTGCGGCTTGCCCTTGAGGTGGTTGTCTTGGCTTTTTATTCCAAGGTACCGCCTGAAAGTGCCCGACTGCCCGTTAAAGAAGCGTTGCTCCTCCGACTCAGCTTGCCTCGATTCTGTCACTCTCACTCCGACAACCAACTCGACCTACTTCGACATCGATTCGAGACCATCGATTACGCCCATCTTAGACACTTCAACCGGCTTTTGTCTAGACAAGAATTCCACCCTGATGACTGGAATCTCGTGCTAGACGCTTTCTCCACAACCTTCGATCGGGCATATATCACCTAATGACCATTATCGACCTGGTTCTTCTTCGACAGCCTCTGCAAGCTGTCACATAAAGAAGTCAACTTCGACGACTTGAACCCGCCGAAGACTATCTTATCGCAGCAACTTTTGGACAGAGATTCATTCTCTCAATCCACACACGCACACACACCAACACAATGATCCCCAGAGGTCTCACTTCCGCCTTCGGGACCCCGTCCCTCGAGATCGGCCAGATCCTGCTCGGCAACGCCAGCCGATACACCATCCAGAAGAAGATCCGTGAGGGCGTTTGGATCGCAACGTAAGCTTACTATAATCAAGCATCGTTCAGAGAGAAGCATTATACTAACAGCATTAACAGTAACCCCATGGGCAACAAGTCCATCGTCAAGGGTGTTCAGGGCATCTCCGGAGCCCAAAACGAGCACAACGTCCTCCGCAAGTTCCAGGGCAACCCTTTCCTCCGCCCCGTTATCGACGAGATCCAGCAAGATGCCCCGATGATTGTGCTCCAGCACATGGACGACCATCTTTTGAACGCTACCATCAAGAAGCCCTTGACCAACCGCGAGATTCGCTTCGTTGCCCGCGCTGTTCTTCGCGGCCTCTCCACCCTCCACAAGGATGGTTACGTTCACACCGATATCAAGCCGGACAACATTCTCGTCAACTACGCCTCGGCTTATGAAGCCGACCCCGATCTTCGATTCTCTGACGTTCAGATCGGTGACCTGGGGGCTTCCTACTCCGTTGACTCTGACGTCGCCACCAAGGGTTTCCTCATCGGCGCTCCCATTTGGACCAGCCCTGAAGTGCTCATGGAGGTTCCCTGGGGAACTGCCAGCGATATCTGGGCCTTTGGCTCCATGATGATCGCTCTCCTCCACGGTGGCGACTACAACCCCTTCCGCCCTACCAACGCTCGCTATCACGACCGTAGCTACATTTTTGAGGTCCTTCGCCAACAGTCTCGACGCTTCGGTGCCATTCCCGAAACCTACCTCGAGCGGGCGCGTCCCGGTAAGGCTATGGCTGCCAAGGCACTGACTGTTGGTCGCAAGGTTGAGCCTCTCGACTTCCGCACCGCTTCTCATTTTATCAACCGCATCATGCGCATGGACGCCGCCGAGCGCCCTACCGCCGACCAGCTTCTCGAGGAGATGTCTGGTCTCTTCGAGGACTAGATTCTAAGATCCTCGACGATCATCCACGATTATTGGAGACGAATGAAAGACATTCCCACAAGGGATGCACAACGATTTTGTTTTTTCGTGTACCGGCAAACGGACACCAGCATTACATCAGGGGAAGAATTACAGGACAGAACTTAATGAGGATGAAAAGCGGCGGAAGCCATTGAGCTCCATTTCCTTTGTGTATTTGGGACACCTGGATACTACAGGCGGGGTTTTTTGTCATTTTCAGCAACGGCATTTGGATATCGCCTGAACGGAATTACTCAGGGATTTGGGTCACACGGTCAACATGGAAAAAAGATCGCAAAGGGAAGACAGAAAAGTTACACGGGGCAACTAGGGGAAAGCGAATGTTTTCGGAGCGATGAAAAGAAACCACCCAGGCGGTACTGTACAAAGAGATAGATGCCTTAGAATCGGCCATACCACATAGACTAACAACCCATATATACAGTGGCCTCCAAGGATGGCTCACTTTGAAACCACATACACATCCTCCGCTTGCATCAGTGATTCTCTGCTGATCAAATCTGTTCCACAATCCTTGATCTTTAGCTCAGTAGATAGGTCCGCAAAGGCCGTTTTGGGAGGATAGGTCAAGCGCTGCAAGCATAGCATTGCCTGTACGGTAGCTTCTGGCGTGAGGTCTGAAGATGATGTTTAGCATACCATGACATGCAGATTGTGCAAGTTCCAAGTCAATGAATACAACCGTCTTTAGCAAGCAAGTCTCTAGTTCCGCTGATATTGGGGGTATTTGGATGTATATCCACGTTTGTTGCGCACTTGTCTCGAAGAGTTTGCCAAACCAAGGCTCAGGCCGCCATCAAGAATCGTGGTTCATGAGGTTCCTCAAAGATATCATTTCTATGACTGTCATCACCGCAATACGATTATCCCCCATCCAAGTAAACCTCGATGTAAGTCTTTTTGATTTCTACAATTTACAACCTCCGTAGCGCGTCTTGGCATCAACGCGTCTCCATGTCCTTTGAAATACTTGTACACCACGCCGGACCATCTGATCTCCTTTGCCCCTTTTACTTCCTTCTTCAGAGACCCCATATTTATAAAAGACCCTGCTTCTGCAAATCGTAGTACACCTTCTCAGGCATGACATTTCCCTCGGCGTCCTCCATCTGCACCACGCTCCCCTCGTCGACCTTGGTCTTCTTGGCCTCCCGCTGGATCTTGTCCCACAGGTTCACCGCCTCCTCGATGCTCGTGATGTCACGGAACAGACTGGTATTCGTAATACCGAGACACCGCAACCCGTGAACGTGCCGCGCCTCATTGAAGTGCTTGTCAAACGCCCGCCGACCCATGTAGACAAAGTTGCCGCAAATCTCGCAGGGGAACTCGACGCCCAGCCCGTGCAGACGGTACAGCCAAAAGGGAATCGGCTTGCCGTCCCACGCGAGCGGCAGTTTGAGCGGGTTGTAAATCTTCTCCTCGCCGTCCTCACCGTCCTCGTCGTCGTCTTCGCCGTCCGCGCCGCCGCCGTTGTGGTGCGCTACGCCGCTGCCGGGCGCCGAGTACGACAGGTTC